TCACATCCTCCTAATTGTGATATTTTTGTACTTCATAAACACTTGGAATGTGACCCAGAGCAGTTTTCCATACTGTGCCAGCCCTGGGCAGCCACTGCCATTGACTTCTGACACCTTTCATGTGTCAGCTTCTCCAGGCTGGGCACATCCTGCATCTGTCCCCATGGGTTGTGCAGGGTGGCTGTGCTGATGGACACCCTGTCCCCTCCAGAGCCAGCTGAGTGGAGCTGGTGCACAGGACAGGGATTCTGTGCTGGCTGTCACATTCTCAGGGGTTTCACAGAAATGGAAGAAGGGATCTGCAGCGTGGTTCCCTTGGGCTGTGGTGTTTTGTGTAGTAACATCTGTAGGTGCTGGGTTTTGCCTACTGATTCTTGTGGCATGTGAGGTTGTGAGGAGTAGATGTTGCACAGCATGTAGGAAACAATATGGATCTTCCAGGGCTTTCCTGTAAAATCTGTCAGGATTGGCAGGTTAGAGGATGAAGTGCATGAATAGCAGCAGAGGAAGAAGGGATATGTGGCTCTCCCTGTTGTTTCTAGGCCGTTCACAGGGGTGATGTGTCCAGCAGAGCTGCTTACGATCTGCCTCTGCACCTGAGCTGCTGGTAGAAGTGACCAATTCAGGTGAATTTTGTAAATGCTGGCACTATTTTGTGTTTCACCTGCTGTGATGGGTTGACCCCAGGGAGAAGCCAGAACTCCTCTGAGCTGTTCCTTCTCTCTCACCCGCAGGAACGGCAGGGGTTAAAAACAGGCTGGAAACACTCAGGGTTCAAAGTAATGGCAGGGAGATCACTCACCAGTTACTGTCATGGACAATATGTGTTTGACATCCGGAAAATGAATTTAATTTATTTAAATATAGAAAACAGAACTGGAAAAGGTGTGATGAACATGCAGTGCCCTGGCTGTGGTCAGGAGAGAATTGTCAAGGGACTCAGTGTCCTTTTCAGTTTGAGAGTCTGGATGCTGCAACATACAACCTCAATGCTGGAAACGTGGAGTTTATTTCGGGGCTTCACAAGCATCGAAATCCAAATTTGTTATTGCATTGGAATTACCATAAGAATAAGTGTATGGCCCCATAGTGGGGCAGGTGATGGGAGCCAAGAAAGGAAAGCTGGTACTTTTTCAAAGTTGAAATTGGATCATATGGAGGAAAAGGGGAAAAATAGGGAAACGTCCCTGTGCCAGGGTTCCGATTTTCTCTCTTCCAAATGATGATAGCCATGTTTTCTGTGGTATATAAGTGCCAGCAGAATGTTACATGAATATTCATATCACATCCTCCTAATTGCATTATTTTTGGCAATCATAAAGCCTTGTGGATGTGGCCCAGAGCAGTTTTCCATATCGTGCCAGACCTGGCAGCCATTCCCATTGACTTCTGACACCTTTCATGTGTCAGCTTCTCCAGGCTGGGCACATCCTGCATCTGTCCCCATGGGCTGTGCAGGGTGGCTGTGCTGATGGACACCCTGTCCCCTCCAGAGCCAGCTGAGTGGGGCTGGTGCACAGGACTGGGATTCTGTGCTGGCTGTCACATTCTCAGGGGTTTCACAGAAATGGAAGAGGGAATCTGCAGCGTGGTTCCCTGGGGCTGTGGTGTTTTGTGTGGTAACATCTGCAAGGTGCTGGGTTTTTGCCTACCGAATCTTGTGGCATGTGAGGTTGTGAGGGGTGGATGTTGCACTGCATGTAGGGAATGGATGGATCTTCCAGGGTCTTCTTGTGAAATCAACTTTTAGGTTTCAGGTTAGAGGATGAAGTGCATGAGCATCAGCATGGAAAGAAGGGAGGTGTGGCTGTTCCTGTTCTTTCAAGGCCTTTCACAGGGGAGATGTGTCCAGCAGAACTGCTTATGATCTGCGTCTGGGCCTGAGCTGATGACAGAAATGATCAGTTTGGGTTCTGCTGTTTTCTTGCTGGGGCTATTTCGTGTTTCACCTGCTCTGGAGGATTGACCTTGGGCAGCTGTCTAATTCCCACCCAGCTGCTCCTTCGCTCTCACCTACAGGTACGGCAGGGGTGAAAAACAGGCTGGAAAATCCCATGGATGGTGATAATGGCAGGGAGATTATTTACCAGTTACTGTCATGGACAGAAGAGTCTTGAGAAGAACAAAATCAAGTTATTTATTGACTGTTGGAAATACTGTAGATGGATAAAAAACTAACAGAAATTTAGGACCTGCTGCCTCCACCTTCCCCTTCTTCCTCGGATCAATTTGTCTCCTCTTTCCCAGGTTCTCTACATCTTTCCCCTGCATCAGTGCAGAGGGATGGGGAATGGGGGTTGCAGTCAGTTCATAACAGGTTGTCTCCTCCACTCTTGCCTCGCACTTTTCCCCTGCTCTAGCAATGGTCCCTCCCTTGGGCTGCAGTCCTTCAGCATGAGCTGATTCCAGCGTGGCCTCTGCATGGGCTGCCATCCTTGAGGATACACCCACCCCACCTGTTGTGCTGTGGGGTTCTCCTGGGGCTGCATGTGCCTCTCCACCACAGACCTCCATGGGCTGCAGGGCACAGTTGCCTCACCATGGTCCTCTTCACAGGCTGCAGGAGAATTCTTTCTCCAGCACATGGAGCAACCTATCCCCTCCCTTCCTTGGCCCTGTTCTTCAGGACTGTTTCTCACAATATTCCTGAGTCCTCACTGCTGGGACATGTTCCATCCATTTCTGGACTTCAATGCGCAGAAGGCCACAATTGTTTCAGGATACAGTCCTGGAAAACAGAATGAAATCTCCTCAGGCCAGGTGTCATGAACTTGTTATAGAAATATTGATTCAACTCCAAATGCTTCCTAGCTCCAGAAGGTGGATTGGTGTGTTGCAAAGTAGCATTAATTATTTGTTTGCTTGTTTCTGGGCAGTTGCTGTTGAAGGAGAGTTGGGTAGTTTGGTGAGGCAGCCTGCTACAATGTGTGGTCTTTGGAAAAAGTGCTACTGCAGTGGTTGAGAGGTTGCGGTGGCCTAAATGGTTGTATCTCTCAGTTCAGAAGCAGGAAGGAAGCTTTTTGAAGGTGAGATGAGAAATGCACACCTGGCACTGGGAGTGAGGTAAAATGACCCTCTGAGCGTGAGCTGGAGAAATAAAGGAGCAGTTCAGATTCTGCTCTGTTTCTCCTGGTGTGAAGGAAGCTTTCCTGTCTCACCACCCAGGAGGCCTCTGACAGTCATGCCCCACCACCAGAGACTGTCACTGCGGGGACCAAAGCCCCTTCACTGTGGGCAGCTGCCCCACTCCACTCCCTGCACACAGCACGCTCAGAGCCAGACCAGGTTTCCTCACCAGCCTTGCACTGGGTTTCCCATAGTAGAGTCTCAGGCCCCTGGAGCTTTAAAGCACTTTAATCATGGCACAGTAACACAGAAGCATCTCAGGCTGGGTGCCTCTGAGGAGCTGACCCAAACAATTGGATCCCTGGGATTTTGTGTCCTTCCTGTCCATGCCCAGGATGATTGGAGTGCCTTAAGTGTCCAGTCACCTGGCTGGTGCAACAGGTCCCTGTGCCCTTTGGCTTGCAAGGCTTGGCACTGTGCTTGGGATTGCCAGCACTTCCCCACAACCTGCAGCCCCCTCCCATTGCAGCTGCTCCCTGAGCTGTCTGCACTGAATGTATTCTTCCACACTGGAACTATTTCACATTTGCAGGCCCTGTCATGGTGAGTTGACTGTGGGCAGCTCCTAGAGCCCTCTGCTCAGTCACTCCTTCACTCTCACTCTGGAGTAGGACAGGGGTGGCAAATAAGATGGAACTGCTCATGAGTCAAGATAAAGACAGGGGAATCACTCACCCATTATTCTCACAGACAAAACAGACTTGACACAGGGAAAATCAGTTTAATTTATTGCCTCCTGAACACAGAGTAGGATGATGTAGAACATGCACAAAACTAGAATATTTTATCTTCACTCCCCAAAAATCTCAGGCTCAATTTAACTCATTCAGAGATTCTCTATCACCTCCTCTCCTCAGGAGCACAGGAGGACAGGGAGTGGGGGTTGTAGTCAGTTCATAAAAAGTTGTGTCCTTCACTGCTTCAGCATGGCTCCTCCCATGGCCTGCAGTCCTTTAGAACTTCTCTTTTCCCAGAGGAGCCACAATGGTCACTGATGAGATGAGTGGTGTCCAGTGCTGGATCCATTGGAGTGCCTGGAGTTGGCTATTCCCAGCATGGGACAGCCTTGACCTCACCTGATTGAGACCCCCCAGGCCCCCAGCTGCAGCTCCTGGCCCAGGCACCCCGTACATCTGCCTGTGGGTCACTGCGAGATGAAGCTATGGCTTCCTTCCACACTGCACCTTGCACAAAACCCACCTTCCTGGGGCTGTAACGGTGCCAGAGTGCACTGGGAAAAGCCAGTCTCATCTCCAGGTCAGGCCAGGAGAGCAGTCCCACAGAGCAGGCAATGCTGTCCTTGCAGGCAGTGGGGCACAGGGAACACGCAGGGCTGCAGTGGGAAGGGGGCTCTGCACCCCCTGAGCTCCCCGGGGCCGTTCCTGCCTCGCTGTTTGTGGGTCAGTGACCACCTCTGGTGAGTGCCAGGGCTCAGCGTCTTCACACAGAGCTATCAGCCACTGCCAGACTGTGACACAGCCCACAACAGATCACACAGCACAGGGCCACAGCAGAAGGAAAGGTAAACCAAAATAGAGATAAAGCTGTTGTTTCATTCAGTCTATTCAATCTGTGAAAATCCAATTGTTCGAGGCAGGCTTGCAGTGTGATTACTGTTCTTTTGCATCCAGCGCCTGTACAAGGGATAAATGACTTTGCTACTGACAATAATTTAATTCCAAGAGCTGTTTTAATTAAATGGAAATTTAAATTCGTTTACCTCGTACTAATATTAAAGAGTTTGAAATGTATATTATTTATGTCTAAGCTGAACTTCTCTACAATCTATACTGCCTAGAGAGTTTCAATGAAAATGAATTGAACTTGTTTTCTCTGAAGATATTTTGCATGAGCTCCAGCATTCGTTACAGTTTCTACCTCATGCAAAACTTGCGCATCAGACAGCAGAGAATCCTAAGCAGTGTCTTTTCCAGCTTGGGATTGCTGAAAATGAGAATAAGGGAATGAACACCTGGATAAGCATGTTGAATTACGTAACCAAGTAATATCACGAGATTTTGGTGCTTCATGGAATAAATTAGAGTCAAGATCAAAAACACACAAAGTTGATGCTGTACATTGTTAAGAAGGAGAGGATAGATTTCATGGCTCTGATGTGGGCATCCATGCTGAGGTCCTTCATGGAGTTTGTCTGCATCCTGCGCTTGTGTCTCCAGAGAGAAAAGAGAAGGAAAACAGCAGAAAAGATAACTGCCATGAATGAAGTGGTATATAAAAAACCAGTGAGAAAATAAAGAGAGAAAAAATGTTCCTCTATTCCGATACATGCTTGCCAAAGTATTTCTTGGCAGGTGAAATTCAGGTTTTTACAGACAGCTTTATCAATAATGTTGTAGACGAGAATTCCAATAATCAGGGAGAAGATCACTGTCCCCAATAGAAGCCATGGCACCATCCTGTCAATTTTTACTTTCAGGTAGATGAAGAGCCTATTCCTGAAATTGGCAATTTTTATGCAATAAAAAGCACAAAGACAGGCAGAAAACCACAAATTAGAACAATTAAAATAGCTATAAGCACTATCAAGTATTTGAAGTACGGGATGTACCAGAAGGCAGTAGGGGGAAATTTCTGAGAGAAAGACATATATCCATGAGAAAATTCTATCCACCAACAGGTTCCGAACTCATCTGCTTGGGAAAGTGAAGGCTTTTAAAGATGGCACCATACTGAGTTCCCCCCACACTGCAGTGCCCTCAAGTTTCCAAATGAATTTAGACCCTGATAGATGTGAGGTTTTTCCCAGGCAAGTTGTGTTAAGCTCTGTAGGGCATGGACTGCCCGTGCACTTTGAGTTAGTCCAGGACCTGTCCCATTTGGCCTTGCACATCAGGACCACAGTAAGCAAGGAGATCTCATCTGATGCTGTGGTGGAAGCAGGAAAATTGAAACCCCAACCAGGAGCTCTATGGCTACAGGAAATGAGCCACCAGGATTTTCTCTCTTCCAAATCATGATAGCCATGTTTTCTATGGGATATAAGAGCCAGCACTATGTTACATGAATATTCATATCACATCTTCTTAATTGTGTTTTTTTTGTACTTCATAGACACTTGGAGTGAGACCCAGAGCAGTTTTCCATATCGTGCCAGCCCTGGGCAGCCACTGCCATTGACTTCTGACACCTTTCATGTGTCAGCTTCTCCAGGCTGGGCACATCCTGCATCTGTCCCCATGGGTTGTGCAGGGTGGCTGTGCTGATGGACACCCTGTCCCCTCCAGAGCCAGCTGAGTGGAGCTGGTGCACAGGACAGGGATTCTGTGCTGGCTGTCACATTCTCAGGGGTTTCACAGAAATGGAAGAAGGGATCTGCAGCGTGGTTCCCTGGGGCTGTGGTGTTTTGTGTGGTACCATCTGTAGGTGCTGGGTTTTCCCTGCTGAGTCTTGTGGCATATGAGGTTGTGGGGCATGAAATTTTATTGCATGTGTGAAATAAGATGGATCTGCCAGGGCTTTCCTGTGAAAGGGATCAGGACTGCCACGTTAACGGTTGAAGTGCATGAGCAGCAGCAGAGGAAGAAGGGATATGTATGTGGCTGTTCCTGTATGTTCTAAGACCTTCACAGGGGAGATGTGTCCAGCAGAGCTGCTTACGATCTGCCCTCTCTCACCCACAGGAAGGGCAGGGGTTAAAAAAAAGTATGCAAAAATGTATGGTTTGATATAAAGGGAGGGAGATCACTCACTAGCTACTGTCATGGACAACATGTGTTTGAAATTAGGAAAATGAATTTATTTTATTAGTCTGCATCCTGCGCTTGTGACTCCAGAGAGAGAAGAGAAGGCAAACAGCAGAAAAGATGACAACCAAGAATGAAGCAGCATATCCAAATCCAGCAAGAAAATAAGAGGAGAAGAAATGTTTATCCATTTTGATTCTTGCTTCCCAGAAATTTTCTTGGCTGGTGAAAGTGTGGTTTTCCCACTGCACAGTTTCAATGAGGTCATAGACAACGATGCCCATAGCCAAGGCTAAGATCTCTGACCCCAACAAGATCCAGGGCACCATCCTGTCAATTTTTCCCTTCAGGTAGATGAAGAAGCTGTTCCTGAAACTGGCAATTTTTATGCAGTAGAAACCACAAAGACAGGCTGAGACCCACAAGTTGGAATAATTAAAAGTGGTTTGAAATGTTGCAATTAGTTGAACTGTGGGGTGAACATGAAGGAATTTGGGATAAATTATTGAAAAGAAGTGGGATACAGGCTTCAGGATCTGGGTTCTTCTGTCTCTTTGTCACCAATGATTCTCGCTCAGAGTGGGGTTTGCCCTGTGTAAAGCATTGCCAGGGCATTGAGATGAGTAATTCAGTCAGGGAATTGTATTGTGAAAAACTTTCATATTGATCTGCTCAATTCTTTGTGTCCTTTCTCTTTCTACCAGTCTGAGCTCAGTACAGGCCAAGAGTATATATAGATATTTTCTATGTAATGTAGTTCAAGATTTTATATTTGTTTTATCTTTTTTGCAATCTGATTTTAGACACTATTGTAAGTTTTCAATTGTGCAAGTCTAAAAATAAATAGTAAATTGCTTATAAAATCAATTTTCTATCTGTCCTCAATCTTGTTTCAGTGGTCCTGTGCTCCAAGTTGACAACATTTGAGATTACATTATAACATGCAATAAAATTTTCCAGTGGTACCTGAACAATGCCTTGAATGTCCAAAAGCCTGTTTGTCTCACCACTCTCGGTGTATTTAATGAAAGATTATCTCTCTATGACCTTTGCCAAAATTACTCCACTACAGGGTATTCTGCTAATTGCCTTCTGCTCTTTCATCCAGGCTGATATTTTTATATAGGCTCCTATTTTTAATGTACACTTATTCATTTTTTCTATCTAGAATTATAGGTATTTATGATACTTTAAAATCAGAGCAACTGCTGTTGTTATCCTCTGCTGTGTATTTCAGATCTGAATGCTGAAGGTGTTAACCTGGAGGCATTTGACAAGTTCAATCTTGTGTTGATTTCAAGCCCTGCAATGGTAAACAGACTTACCTAAAAATTGGGAAGGTGATGGGTAATTTTTTTATTAAAAATGTGGTTGGTGCCACTTTGATATGACATTTTTTCCAGCTCAGGAGACACTTGTTTTTGTTCTTGCTTTTACGAAGGACATAAATTTCAGGCACATTTCTGTGTCTGAGTTTTTCTGTGTTGTAGTGGAGTTAAAATCAATACAACCAGATTAACAAAAGGTATTATCTGCATTTAGTGACACCAGGTAGTGCCTGTGTCTAGGAATCCAGGTTGGATCTGCCCTTGGGTCTGGGAATACTGATGCACAGTATTTTTGGGCACTTCATGCAATGTGGAGTAAGAGACCAAAAGGCTGTAAGAGACCTGCTGTACTTCCCAGAGTGGAAGAGCAGCAGCTTTTCCCATCACCAAGTTTTTCACAGAACTGCAGCCAATGGAATAATGTGCATGCACTGCCCTCCAGGGAGGACAAAATGAAACTGGTGCTGGAGTCCCTCTGCTATGGAGACAGGCTGAGAGCTGGGGCTGTTCAGCCTGGAGAAGAGAAGGTTCCAGGGAGACCTTAGAGCACAGCGCTGTGCCTAAAAGGCATCCAAGAGACCCCCTATATGTATCTATGAAAACAAATGTGTGCCTTCAGAATGACTTATTGTCAGACATCTGCTTTAGGTTCTTGAGTTATTTTAAAGTTAAGGGTACTAAAAACCAAGTGGTTTTCAGACAGCTCTGCTTTTGCTTCATTTTTTTTGCTTCCTTTCTCACATCCACTGCAAAACATCTGGAAGTATGGCCTTGGTGCTGTGTTTGGACTCTCTTTGCTTGCCTCTGAAAACAGTCTTGACATGCTGTATCTTGAGACATGCTTATTTTGCTAGTAGTATGTCCTGTTCAGGTTAGGTGTCAGCAACAATCCTTCCTAAAAGAAAGTGTTGAAGAACATTCATTTATGATAGGTGAAGGATTAGTGTTCTGAGGTCCTTCTTCTCTAAACAAGAAAAGATCTCTGTACTTTTTCCTCTGCTGTGTTATCTCTTTTGAATAGATTCCTACTTTGTTTTGTTTAGAGAAAAATATGTTGCTTAGCTTGAAGGACTGACTTCTTTCTAGGACAGACCCATTTCCTACTCAAAACCTACTTACTCAAGCTCTCTGCCTTGTGCCATGACACTTGGGTAGTGGTGTCATGGCACAAGCCCTTTTCTACCTAATTGCTGAACATAGAAGTGAACATCCTCACATCCATGATTTGCAATTTCAGATGTGAAATGGAGGAGCAGGATTCCATGCCTAAGCTAAGGGCACTCAAGCACTCCAGGGCATATGGGATCTGTGGGAATACTGATGCACAGCAAACTAGGGATTTCTAGAGCCCTTCCTGACCCATGTCCCTGAGAAAGAAGATAGCAAGATTCAGGACAAGAGTTTGTGATCTGTGAAACCCACCTGGAAGGCCAAGGATTACTAAGTGACTGCTCTGGAGGCAGAGAGTGGCAGGTTGTGCACGGAGCATCAGATTTGGGGTGGGATCATCTGAGGAAAGACACTGTCAGGGGATTCATAATCATATCTCTCTTACATCTAATCTTTACAATGTGGTGTTAATTATTAATTGAAACCAGCACTGGGCCAAATTCTAATGGCACTGGAGTGCTATAAACCTGGAATAATTCTGCTTAAGAGTGTGGCTTTTCTCCTGTGCAGTCAAGATGATAATGCTGACAGGTAACAAACACAGGGGAAGGAGTCAGCAACTTTGGGCCAGAGGGAGAAGTTGTTATGTGAAGCCTGGGTGGGTCTTTCACCAGCTGCACTGAAGACATGAAGTTACCACATTCCTCTCTGCAATGTTCCTCCAAATGGACTTAGGTAGCTGATAAGAGCAATGCCATCAGGTGCCATCCAGGAGGAAATCTAACTGTTATAACCATGTCTCAAAGGTGGACTGGAGAAGACTCATTGGCTGATGCTCATTGGCTGATGCTCCATGGAAAGCTCAGCAACGTGCCCTATATAGAGCCAGAGATGAGAGAGACCATCTTCTGTTCCCACTGCAAAAATGGGCTCCAGCATCTTCCCACTCAGCCTGACACTTCTGCTGTGTTCTGTCTATGGTTCTCCAGTCTCTGTAAGTAAAACCTGATTTCTACAGGCTCCTATCAGTCCAGAGGCATCTCATACCTTATACTGGTTGTATTCTATTCTCCTCCAGGTGGGACAGCTCTCCAGTGAAGCTGGTAAGTGCTGTGTGAGCTGGTTTGAGTTTTGAAGCATTTCCTTCTACTTGCTGTGAGCCACCACATCCGAACACTTTATGTTTTGGCTGTCTTGCAGATGCTGGAGCTGGGGAGATATTCAAAGATATTCCCCAAATCAACTTGGGTGAGTTCACACCTAAATTCTCATGAGGCCTGAAGAGTTGTGAGCATAATGCTGAATTTTCAGTGTTGTAAAGGAGACTGATGGTCAGGTGGCTCATGGTAACAGGAGAATTAAAATCAAGTGAGCTCAGAGCTCTCTGTGACACCTGAATATTTCCAGGACTGTAACTCTTTGTGAACAAGGGATGCAGATACCTTTTGTTTCTGAATTTTGGACAGACCTGTGATGCTAAGGCAGAAAAGCACTCTATGATTCAGAAGGACTCGTCAGTGCCAACTGCATTTTCTGTCCATCTCTATATGATTTTTATAAATCCATGCAAACATGGAAAACAACTTAGATGTTTATTGATCGCTGTCCCATTGTGTGACTCTTGTCACTGCCTGAGAGCAAGCAGAGCTCATCAAAGGTGATCATGGATAATTGTGCCACCGCTGCCAAGAAGACTTTGCCATGAAGTAAATATTGAGTTGAAACTAGAAACTGCTGTTACTTTTATTATTACCTGTAACTCAGTGTACAGCGGCTGGTCCTTATTTATTTTCTGTAGATGCCCAAGGACATTAACTTTGTATAAGCAGGTTCAATGTGGTTTATGAAATGAAATATTTTTGAAATTCGTTGACACCATCTTTGATTAAATTCCATTTCAGCTGCTGGACTGGACCTCTTTCAGGGTGATATCTTGCTCCCTGTAAGTAATTAAAAGCTTTCTGTCACTTGTCGTTATTGAATTTTTGCTACAAATCAACTCATCTCCCTACAGTAGATACATCACCAGCTGTTAATTCTCTTTTCAGAAAAATCAGCGAAATGCCTTAAGAAATGAGACCTACAGATGGAAGTTCCCCATTCCCTATATTCTGGGTGATGACCTAGGTAATGCAGACACTTTATTCAGATTTTATCTCCAATCCTTATTTGCACTACAGTCACTGTGATAAAAAATTTGCCTTTTCCAGAACTGTTTCAAATTAAAAATATTAAACTTCACTAATAACTAGTTATTGTAGTCTTGTTTATATCAAAATTGTTTTTGTTTCTTCTACAGCTAACATAGCAAACCACAATTTAATCAAATTCAATAGTTTCTCCTTTCAATCATTTTTCCTCTGGTTCCACATGTGTATCTGTACATATCTGATGTCTCCAAGATGAACAAACTGCAATGTATGAAAGGTTCTGTCCTTGTTTTCCAGAACTGAATGCCAAAGCGGTCATTCTCCAGGCATTTGAAATGTTCCGCCTGAAGTCCTGCATTGATTTCAAGCCTTATGAAGGAGAAAGAACCTACATTTTTTTTAGCAAGCAAGATGGGTAAGGATAATAGCAATTTCTGTTTAGTTTTGCCGTGGAGATTCAGCTGGGAACTCATTCCATTTGACTGCAGCAGTCTAAAGGTTTGCTGTCAGCAGAGAAAAAGAGGCCACCAGGAAAACAAATCAGATTCTTAGACAAAAAGCTTGCAAGCAGCTGCTCCCTCTGCTGACTGTTATTTGGAGGATGAGTTCTGAAGGTGAAACCCAGCCTCACTGGGTTTTCATCAACTACTTCCACTATTCCATCTAGGGTTGTTTTCCATTTTGATGAAGACCTCCATGTACATCCTTTTAACTTACCAAGAATGTAAATAGCTAGAATTTAAGTCTGGAATTTTTTGGAAGACAGACCAAAAAAAAAAAAAAAAAAAAAAAAAAAAAAGGAAAAGAAAAAAGACAATGGAAATACAATCTATTATAATATTTCTATTGGTTTGACATGGCTCTTTAAAGAATAGTCTCTCAAAATCTGAAAGTGTTTTATGCACAGAGATTCAAGTTTTCAAGAACTGAAAGGATTTATTTCCTACATCTAAGTATGTTATGAAAGAAAATGTAGAAATGCACAAAAATCTTCTCACTGTATCAGCTATGAATACTTCTTGTCTTCCCAAAAGTTCATGTTTCTGCCTTCAGCTCTTCATTGAGTGTCCTATGACACTTCTCTTACAAGTTTGCAAGCACGATGATTTTTGACAAGTCAATGTTGAAGATCTTAATACTAGAAATGTACTTTCATACCTCTGGCCAATGAAAAGTATGGTTGCTGTTAAAAAAGACTAAATGTTGCTGTTCTAAATACTCCTGAGTCCTTTCTCTAGCCCAAGTTATGGCAAAAAAGCTCAGCCTGTTTCAATGAATTTACTGTTTTCATGTAGGTTCTGTGTTTCATGTTTCTTGGCCAAATGGCAGCTGATGCAGGACGAAACTTCTGTGGCTTTCCAAAATGCAGGGTGATCTTCCCTGCCAGAGAGGATAAGTAATGAAGTGATAGTTTCTGGGGGTTAGTCTGCTTTCAGGCTAGAGTATTTTTAGGGTATCAAGGTACATGGTCAGCATCCAAATAATGATTTATGTGACTCCTTCCATATTAAAAACTTTTACAATCTTACTCTAAATCCAGTGAGCAGATTGAAAAGTTAAACACAGAGAAGAAAACTACTGGACAGAGAGTAAGCTCTCCCTTTTTCTCAGGTGTTGGTCCATGGTGGGGGACCTGCAGACTGGACAGAACCTCTCAATTGGGTCAAGGTGTGACTACAGAGCAATTGTGGAACATGAGATCCTGCACGCTTTAGGATTTTACCATGAGCAGTCAAGGATGGACCGGGATGACTACGTGAATATCTGGTGGGATGAAATTATTGAAGGTGGGTTTTAACATTCAAGTTAGATTTTTGCTGTTCAAATTACACTTTTTGCAAAGTGTAGATTTATCAATATCCCATTTTCACTTCTAGATTTAAAGAGACCTTCCTAAGGATAGAATTTTAGAAAATTTAGAAAATTTCAGTGGGCAACACCTGAGACCACTGTATATTAAGAAATTTTGGTGCAACTTTTCTAGTCAAACCCGGACATTGTTTAAGGCCAGAATGGAGAGTCCTGCTTGGAAATCAGGACTTTTATTTCCCCTTGGCTCTTGGATTTATTTTAAAGTAATTACTAAAACTTATTTTAAACTAATTACTTCCTGTCTATGAATCTGTTTCCTTTAATCATGTAATGCAAATTGTAAACTTATTTAGATTATGAGTTTTGAGGTAGCTCTTCTGTAGGCAAAGATCCTTTCAAAATCTGAAAGGTTTTTATATTCAGATTCAGGCTTTTCTGAAACTGAAAATATTCACTTTGCGCAGGAAAAAACCCTTAAAATTATTAGATCGGATGAGAAATATAAAATAAGGCTCTGTCCTGCTCTCTCCTACCCAGGTGTATCTGCAGGTTCTTGCCTTCAGTTTTAGTATGACCATATTCAGGAGCTTTATGAGTTTCAGCAAACTCTTCACAGTCCCCCTGATCCCTAGACAGTTTTTCCTGTTGTCCCCTGTGAGATTTGATTCTGTATTACATAGCAATGATATATTTGAAAAGGAGTGACTAGAAGAGGAGTTTTAAAAAAATTTTGATAAAAGGTGCAATTCAAGTCTCTGTAAGAAAACAATTCTAAGCTCTTACATAATCTCAAGCCTTGAACTGAAGACCTTTGTGATTTGCAGAAGGGGAAGGCAGCTGTTAAGCAGAGAAAGTGTAATTACCCACCAGCACAGTCATGTGCTATTTTGTCTTTGAAAAAGAATGCCAAATATGCTGAAAGCATTATTTGCAATTGTAAATGCTGGCAAGCTCTTTTTACTTCTATACCAAAGCATGTGAAATGGCTCCCTCTCTTTGCCCTAGCAGACACCTTCATAATGAAAAACTTTCTCTAAGTACAAATTACTTCACCAAGAAACCATGTGAAA